TTTTTTTTTTGTGTAGCTGAAAGTAATCTTTTGTCCCGAAGTCAATACTCTTGATCATGGTTTTTGTGGTTGTGTTTTTATTTTTGTATTAGGGGATCTATGAGGAATGTTGGTGTGTTAAATTGTGTTTTCTCTCCCCCCACCTCTTAGCGCCGACTGGCAGCGTTCATGAGTAGCCATGTCTGGTATCGCTCTGAGTAGGCTGGCGCAGGAGCGGAAAACGTGGAGGAAAGATCACCCATTTGTGAGTTTTCACTTTTTGCTTTATCTGATAAAACTCCGCCCTGAAAACACGGGAGACTCTGCTTTCATGTTTTGTTTCCTTTAACTTCTTAAGACTCCTTGTGTCAAAGTGGTTTTTGGTTCTGTCTTCTATCTTCTGGTGTCTGGTTTAATGACTCAATTAAGCAATTCAATTCATCATTTTGATAACGAGACCTATACATGGAATTTCTTAAGGTCTTTCCCAGTTGATGGCTGAAGAGCGCACCAGTAAAAGTACACTGCCCTTTAAACACCTTCACGGTGGGTTGGCATGCTTAACAATGATAAATTAAATCATAATTCATTAGATAGCCTATGGAAGTGAGAGATCAGGTGGAACAAAAACCAGAAACTAGGTTTTCCCGGGAGTGAACTTTTGACATCCCTTTGTTACACGCCTTGCTACTGTTCATGTTGGACTCTTGTCGGGTAATTGTCTGTTTTCCCCTGAAGAGCAGCGTGTGATTTAGTTGGGGAAAAAAAACCACCTTTTTTGGTTTTGGGTTTTTGATTTTATTAAAGGCGAAGGTTTCCACGGGCGTTTTCCTTTTGAAAAAAACAGTGGATGGACTGTGACTGATCCCTACTACATTACAGTAAGCCCGTCCCACCCCCACCCCCCCATAAATGTGGTCTTTTCTTCTGGGCTCTTCCCTGTCCTGTGTTAGTAGTGTCAGCTTTCTGCAGGAGCTTCTCTGCAAGGGCCTGTAGGAGATAAAGCTGTACTTTTGTGTCCATTTGTGTTTGTTGTGATTCCCGTTTCCAGTACTGTTTCAAACTATGCCCCTCATCAGCTGCCTTGAGAAGTTTTTTCACAACTTGTATTTTTATGTGGCACTAGAATAGGTTTTAGAAGCAGTCTACAGAGAAATGGTGATAAACTTCATTATGGGCACATAAGGAATATGTAATAATTGGATTATTGCATATACATCTGAAGATACTAAAGCATTAAAGGAAATGGAACTGAGATATCCAATACTTGAGTGTCTCCACCTCCCCACAGGGCTTTGTCGCTGTTCCCACGAAGAATCCCGATGGCACGCTGAATCTGATGAACTGGGAATGTGCTATTCCTGGGAAAAAAGGGGTAAGTGACGCATCCAGTTCGGTTTTCCCAGACTCCCGGGCAAACCCCTCTGTTACGATTTTATGG